CAAAGGTGCAAGCATTGTGGACCATTAGGGACAAATTGGTCTTGCCAATTTTAAGCACAAGATCCATAAAGATTCTTGCTGGAAGATTGACCACTTGCTTCCCAAGATAATATCTAAGTAGAAAAATGGCTTCATCTATGGTAGGAAGATCAATTATTGCACATGTCTTTCCTCTGAAGCTACAAATTTTCTTAATGAGAAGGCCTATGCTGGGAATGTGGATTTTAAACTTGATATTTCTAAGGCCTTTGACACCATTCATTGGCCTTTCCTCCTTATAGTTCTCGAGAAGTTTGGTTTTGAACCTAAATTTTGTAAGTGGAATGATACTATTCTTCACTCAACTTATCTCTCCATTGGCATCAATGGAAAAAAAGTAGGCTACTTCACTTGTAAGAATAGGGTGAGACAAAGTGACCCCTCATCACCTCTTCTTTTTGGTTTAGCTGAGGAGGTTCTCAGTAGGAGCATATCCAATTTGGTTTCTTTAGGATAGTTCAAGTTGATGACTAGTTCTAGGAAGTTTCAAGTTCCTTCACACACCCTTTTTGTTGATGAAATTATTGGTTTATTTGTAAAGGTGATGTTAAATCCATAAGGGCCACAAATAATCTCCTCTAGAGATATGCAGACTGTTCAGGGAATCTCTGCAATTCTTCCAAGTCTCTCATCTATCCAGGATGAGTCAAACCAAACACAACTTACTCACCTCTATTCTTGGCTTCAATGTTGCTAAACCTCCTTACATTTATCTTTGGGTGCCAATTTTCAGAGGTATACCAAAATCTAAGTATTTTCAACATATAACTGACAAGATAAAAACTCAACTTTCCACTTGGAAGGTTTCTCTCTTATCAATGGCAGGGAGACTACAACATATTAAATTTGTGGCTTATAGCATGCTCCTCCATTCCATATAAATTTATGAATGGCCTATCAAGCTTCTCAAGGATATTGAAAATTGGTTCAGGAAATTTTTATGGAGTGGTGATGTGGAGAATAGAAAATTCATTTCAGTGGCTTGGCATAAATGCTGCAAAACTTTCAAGGTGGGAGGTCTTGGCTTTATTTCCATTATAACTCTTAATAAGGCTACTAATTTAAAGCAATGTTGGGACTTTTATAATGATGATAGTAGCTGGTCTAAGGTTTTTAGAGCCAGAGTTATGGGAAATGGTAGAACTATTACCAACAACATTAGTTCTTCCATTTGGAGTGGCATGAAGGGTTAATGTTCCATAATCACTCAAAATTCTTATTGGCTTATTGGAAATGGTAAAAATGTTATTTTTTGGCTTGATGGTTGGTGTGGCCTCCTCTGGTATCTAGATATAATATACCTCCCACATTTCATACTTATTTACAAGTGCAATTTTCAAACTACACTGTGAACAAAAATTGGACCTTGCCTTACAATCTTCTCATGACCTTCCCTAACATAATGGAGCACATAAGAAAATTCATTATTCCTCTTGATGAAAATGATGATGCTAGAGCTTGGAAATAGTCTAAAAATGGCACTCTATCTTTGAAGTCAACTTACATTTCTGTCAGGGCCATTCCAACTATACTAAATGGAGTAAGATGACATGGAATAATTATATCCATCCTTCTAAATCACTTATCCTTTGGAGAATTCACTACTACAAATAACGCTTTTCATGACGAAGCTTTCACGTCATCCAGAAAAAAATCTAGGTTTTATTCCAAAGCGCGCCATGTTTTATGTTTTTTGTTAAAAAAACAACTTGTTCATTCGGTTATTTAAAAAACCGAGGTGTTATATCCTTCCCGACATGCTTCGAATCCCATCTACTGCACTTTATGTTTTCATTTGTTTACAAGTGTAAAATAAATTATCTAACCCTTCAGTTTTTTTGATAATCCGATAGATAAATTAATCATATTTTACTATAAAAACACTCGTTGAGCAAATTGCACCCTGTTGTTATCTTATTTGTAGCCGCCCCACCGTCGAATGCATCATTTTTTTTGTGATGGATTGCAAGTTTGAAAAAAATGTTCTTCTACCTTGAACAAATTTTTTTCCAGCTTTTGCAATCCATCTCAAACAATGGTGTTGACGTAGTTATTATTATTCCTAAAAGTTGTTGTTTTTGTTATTCCTAAAATTTGTTGTTGTTGTTATTCCTAAAAGCTTTACTGATGGATTGCAAGTAAAAATCATTTTCCATTTTTTTGGGAGAAACACCTTATTAAAAGTTGGACGCATTCAACACTTGCACATTATATACGCTAGTGAATGCAGTGATAATGATAATATCAACAACCAATATTGGATGCAAAGTTCTGACATTCAAACATCAATAATCAATCTTGGATGCAAAGTTATGATGGATTGCAAGTGCGGAAAAACCATTGAAAAGATTTTTTGTAAATAATATATTTTAACATTATTTGTAAACAATGTAATACTTAAAAAATAATAATAATAACTATCACCTCGCTTTTAAAAATAACCGAGGTGATAGAAATCACCATGTCGGTTTTAAACTTTAAACCGAGGGGTATAGTAGTCAGATTTTACTATAAAAGCAATTGTTATATTTTACCCTAATTTGTGTTCATATGAAGCCGCCCCAACTCACATCATAATTTACAAAACATTTTTTGTCCTATACTCACAAAATGGTGTTGTATTTTTTTTGGAGAAATGTTGTTGTTGTATTTGATAGATTGCAAGTGCAGAAAATCATTATTTCTTCAACTTACACAAAGAAGTGAGCTTAACTTTTCAGAAGATAAATATCAGCAAAACGTATATCTAGCATCTTGTGTGGGACCTAAACATGCTGTATTTTTTATATTATGTGAAGATTTGTTGCATACAATGGATTTTTAATATTCTGGATAAATAATGTACCATTTTTGTAAAAAAAAGTGTAATCTAACTCCTCAGTTTTATTCCAAAATCGAGGGGATTGTTAAGTGTTATTTTACACTTTTTTCAAAGGCCTTAAACAAATCTTTACCGTCCATTTAAAGGTTATCAACACTCAAGAATCGTCCATTTAATTTTATTATATTGGAAATCTAAATGAAACATATGAAACGCTTGAAACCTAAGGACACTTGAAAAAGTTCTCTATGATGGATTGCAAGAGTATAAAGTCATCTGAGTTCAAGATTTGTTTTATTAAATTTTTATTTTTACCGAAAATATTTTTGATTATTGATATTAATTATCTTACCCTTTCTTTTCACCAGAAGCAAATGCATGCAAGATCTGTAGAGAATAATCTTGCACCTAACATTTGATCTTCACCTAGATTCAATAATTCGAAGATCTGATTCTAGGTCTTCTGGGAATTTGTTTTTCAGCTAGATCCCTAGAGAATTTGATTTTAATTTTAATTTTAATGTTATAACCCATGCGCTAATAAACTTGTACCTCGGTGTTTTAAAGACCAAGGTGACAAGTCTTTACTTTTTATGATGATCTTATTTACGTCGCATCTACCGTCGAGGTAAAACGCATTTCACGTCTGATGTTAGAAGCGTTATTTGTAGTAGTGATTGTGCATAATGATATGCCAACTAAAGAAAATCTCCTCAAAAGATGCATCATCTTTCCCTCTCAATGCTCTATGTGTCGCAATCATGAAGAAATCACTAATCACATGTTCTTCCACGTCAGATTTTCCCTCAGATTTTGGATTTGGTTTTCAAATAGTTTTAACTTGCTAATCATCATCTCCAGCCTTGCAGATTGTTGGAAAGTAATAGATAAATGATGGTCTCCTCAATGCAAGATAGTCATCATGACTGGAATTCAAATTTGTATAGCAGAAATATGGATTGCTAGAAATAATGCAAGATTTAAAGATGTTGTTTTAGTCTGGAAGAGTTACACCAGGAAAATTGCTAGCTTGGTAAACTTGATTGGCAACAACAAGTGCTCAGGTCCATTAACCATGACTAATTTCACTACCCTCAAGAACTTCAATATCATACTCAATCCTCCTAAGATGAAGATGAATATTGATGTTCTATGGAATCCATCTTCAATTGGTTGAATCAAAGGTAACACTGATGGTGTTTCTATGGGGACTCTTTCTCTTTGTGCCTGTGACATTATGTTTAGAGATGGTAATGGTGATTATGTTGGTTCTTTCTCCTACTTTATTAGAGATGGTAATGCTTTAATGTTAAATTCATTGGTGCTATCACGACAATGGAGGTGGCCATTGATAAGAATTGGGACATTTAGATTGAAATAGACTTTTTGATTATTGCTAGAGCTCTTTACAATACAAATCTTGTCCATTGATCTATCAAAAAGCCGTTGGTTTAACTGATTACATAGAATGAGGAAGTTTGGCCTCAGGATAACAAACGTCTATAAGAAGTTAAATAAAAAAAAACATATAATTATATTGGTAAAAGAATTTTTAATATTGCTAAAATTTCTATTACATTTGTTTACTAAATCACTCATTTATTTTTAATTATTCCTAATTTATTTTTATTTTCTAAATCTTAAAGTTACCTTGATTTTGTTTTTATTTTATTCCTAATTTATTGTTTTTGTTTAAAAAAAACAATTTTATTTTAGATATATATCTCCAAAAATATTTTTTTTATATGATGTGTTCCAATATGAATATTTGAAAAGTACTTTTGAATTCTCAGAGATTTATTTCAACCCTTATATAAAAAGAAATTCTCATAACAAATTATCAATTTTGGTTTAAAGTAATTTTCTCTATTTAATTTATTAATGTTACCTTCATTTTTTGGGTACAATTATTCTTGCCTTCATTTTCTTTTGGTAGAAAAATTATTCTTACCATTTTCAAATAAAGAGAAATTGATTCCGTAATCATCACACACTGTCATTCTTTATATGTTACGTTTACGCATTTATGCGTGTACTTCTCACTCTCCCCATACTACAAAACCCATCACTCATATTCCAAATTCCAAATCCCAAATTCCAAAACCCTTATTCACTCAATCTCCCGCCACCATCATCAGCAATGGAACTCCCAGTCATCGATCTCTCCACCTACCTCTCCGCCTCATCCCACCGCGACACACATCTCCAATCTCTCTGCGCCGACGTCAGTCGCACCCTAAGCGAAACCGGAGCACTCCTCGTAAAAGATCCCCGATGCACCGTGGAAGACAACGACCGCTTCATCGACATGATGGAGAAGTACTTCTCCTCTCCACACGAGTTCAAGATCCGTCAAGAAAGACCTCACCTGCATTACCAGGTTTCCTAACTGATTCACGAAATTCCTTCCTGAAATTGAAATTAGAATTTGTTTTGATATGAATCTTTCAAAATTTGATCAAGGTTGGAGTTACGCCGGAAAAGGTGGAGGTTCCGAGGAGTTTGGTGGATGAAGAAATGCAGAAGAAAGTGAAGGAAATGCCGCGAGAACATCAGCCTCATACTCCGGTTGGTGCTGATCTCAAGTGGAGATATTTCTGGAGAATCGGTCCCCGGCCTTCTCTTACACGATTTCAGGTTTTTTTTTTTAATTCTTTAAAGCTATTTAAAATTCATTATTTTCCGAGATTGTCTCATTTTTGTAATTACTTTTCAAATTTTTCGTATTATGGCACGGAGAAATCAAGTATTTTTGTACTTGAAATAGTTTTTTTTTGTAATTGTATTTCTTGACTTTTGAAGAAGAAAAAAGTGGTCTGTGCTTGAAATAATTTAGTAGTATTTTTTAGGAATTTTTATGTACTAAGTTGAAGTTAATTTGTGTTTGTCTCTAGTGAACTAAAATTATCTTACAAAAGTTATTAAAAATAGCTTTTCATATTCTGCTTATTATTTAAGGGTGAAACCAACCGGTGGCATCAGACTGTAGGGTCCCGTTATGCTAACTCAGTTGGTCCCTGTGCAGGGGCCGTTAAGATAGCTCCGTTAGTCTCTAGTCCCCCTGTGCACGGACATCAGACTATAGGGATACATGTTCGAACCTGCGACATACCTCTCATTCATCTTTAAAAAGTGAAATTGCCAGCCACTAAACTACTTGACCAAAAAAAGTTGAAACACAGATACAATCTCCTAAAAATAATCAACAATTTTTTCATAAATATACTGAAACTAATAGAGGCCCTCCAAGAGAGGTAATTGATACTCAATATTGATTTGGGATGTGATTACCGAAATGTAGGAAATTTAAAGTTCCTGTAATTTTCTAAAGGGTCATGCTAACTAGTGCCCTGAGAGCACTTTTAAGGATATCAAATAAAGAAAATATTCTTTATAAAAGTCAATTATTCCAATTTCCCATGCATTGATTACACGCATTCTTAAAAAATCTTACTACTTTAAGCACTTAAAGGAGTGCCCTTAGGGCACTGGTTAGCATTTCCCTTTTCTAAAATATGTTTTCATTGTTAATAAAGAAAATAATTTTTTTAACACTCTTATTGTTTTCAAAAATATGCACACATTTGTTCAAATAGAGCTATTTGCTAGCAGTCCTTGTATTTGCTGATAGTATTTTTGTTTTGTTCTAAAACTTTAGTTAATTGTTTTGTTCTAATACTTGGGTTAATTGTTTTGTGTAGGAACTTAATGCAGAGCCAGTAATTCCTGAAGGTTTTCCGGAATGGAAAGAAACTATGGATTCCTGGGGATACAAAATGATAGCAGCAATTGAAGTCAGTCATTTAATTGATTTTTTTTTTTATAATGCTATTTGTAATGTGTGTTATCTGATTGTGCATGTTTGTCACATAGGTTGTATCTGAAATGGCTGCCATTGGGTTTGGTCTTCCAAAGGATGCATTCACCTCTCTCATGAAGCTGGTGAGTGAGCACACCAATTGCTTTATGGTGACTTAAAATTAGGTGATTAAAGAACCTATGTTTTCTGTTGAATGATCTCTTTGAGATGCATGAAAACTAAAAAATGTTGGACACCATTGACCTCGACAAATATCACATCATTGATCATATTAAGGACATCCATTTTTTCTTTCTTTCATAATCATAAAGCAAAGCCTGTATGAATTTGGTTTGTACCTATTTAAGCAAAGTTTCCCCAGTTTTTGTGCATGTTAATGTTGTCTACTTGTCACATGTGACGGGTTGATCATATTCTTACTTACACTGTTTTACTTCCCTTCCCTATTTTCTAATGATTCTATGTTGCATTATTGCTGTTTGTTTGTGTTAGGGGCCGCATCTGTTAGCTCCAACAGGAAGTGACCTTGAAAAGTATAATCAGGAAGGGACCATTTTTGCAGGATATCACTATGACCTTAACTTCTTAACAATTCATGGTAGAAGTAGGTTTCCTGGCTTGAATATCTGGCTAAAAAATGGACAAAAAGTTGCAGTTAAGGTTCCGGTAGGATGTCTTCTTATTCAGACCGGAAAGCAGGTAATTTGAAATAATCTTTGCTTGAAGATATTGTGTCTGAACCGTTGTGTTATTTCTTTGCTTGAAGATATTGTGTCTGAACCGTTGTGTTATTTCTTGTGTGATTTCTTTCTGTTTTAAAATGCAGATTGAGTGGTTGACAGGAGGGGACTGCATTGCTGGCATGCACGAAGTAGTTGTCACAAAAAGGACCATTGATGCTATCAATGCAGCTAAAGAGGAAAAACGTAGCCTATGGAGAGTTTCTTCAACTGTGAGTTTGGTTTCTTGTACTAGGAAAAAGTAGCTCATTAAAATGAACTTTTAGTTTTATCTGCTGTTATATTTACTGGTATCTTTTGTCTGTCACATGTAGTTGTTTGCACACATTGCATCGGATGCAGTTCTGAAGCCATTGGGACATTTTGCCGAATCCCCGCTAGCAAGCAAATATCCACCTCTATGTGCAGGAGAATATGTTGAGCAAGAGCTTTCTGTAATCAATCTCAAAGGAAAGAATTGAAAATTATCATGGTGAAAATTGTAATAAAATGACGTTCTTATTTCAGTGGTTCACACAGCTTTTCTAGCTATAGCAGTAAAAACTACTGGGGCGAGAAACTGAAAATTGTGGTTTCATGTTTGTTCAAAGAAAAACGAACTAATTTGAGCTTCCAACTGAACTCTATTTTATGTCAATACATCAAACTCTGATGTTTCAAGAGTCTAATTTATAACACATTTTAATGAAGACTTTTACAACTTTATTTTTGCTGTTTGTGTAATTTGTGCTGGAAGACTCTTATAATAGGTTTCCCCATCTTAAGCAAGAAGCTTCAGTTATTTAAATCTAAATTGAGGGTTTTGTATCATGAAATTTTTGAACGAAATCTAAATTGGGTTTCGAAACATAATTTTTTTGAAAATGTGAACACTAATGTCAAGAGTGCTGAAGACATTTATAGGTAAGATTCGTCTGCAAACTCAAGCTAGTGGCAAAAGTGATTCTCTAATTGCTCAAGAAAATTTGCATAGTGCTTTACATAGAGAAATGTTTTTGACTTGAGAAGTCAAAGATTGAGATATTTTTGAACGAAATTTAAATTGAGGGTTTGTTATTTTTTCAATATACTCTATGATTGCTACACTGATATAGTCGATGTTTAGGAAAGTTTTTGCTAATGAAAAGATTTAATATTTAAGTGTGTTTATTGATCCATCATCTCTTCTTTTTGAACTTTCTTAATGCACTATTACAAAACTAATGATGGAAGACTAATTATATTACAAAGAGATGCGTGAATCAATCACTACATGAATAAACTTAGAAGAAGATCGACAAATAGCATGATTGTTTTCGTTTTCGTAGTGGAAAGCTAGTAGACGTGCGTCTGATTGACCCTAAAGCTAAGAATTATAGCTTCTTAAAATCACGTTGAAATCAAATTTAGACGTTAATAGAAAGTTAACTTGAAAGTATTTACAATGAAGAATGAGTTCTTCATACATGATGTGTCTTTATATATAGGCGGATGATTTATCCTTCAGATGTTTGAAAATAGGATAAATGCTAACAAATTAATAACAGACAATAAAAATATCTCTAATACTCTTCCTCAAGTTGGAGGGTGAGAATTATAAACACTCAATTCGAATATAAGGTCTTGAAAAATTTTCACGCCTAAGGATTTAGTAAAAATGTCAGCATTTTGTTGTTTGGTGGACAGTAAATTGTGCCTATGGCACCTCACTGTATGTGTTCCCTGATAAAAAGACAATCAATTTCAATGTGCTTTGTTCTTTCATGGAAGACCGGGTTTACAGTTAAATGAAGAGCTGCTTGATTGTCACAATGCAGAAGTATGGGTTTGATGCATGGAACTTACAGAGTCTCTAACACATTACATAGCCATAATATTTCACTTGTGGCATGTGCCATTGCACGTTATTCAACCTTACTTGAGGATCAAGATATTGTGGCTTGTTTCTTTGTTTTCTATGATATTAGAGCATTGCCAAGTTTCATTAGGTAACCTGAGAGGGACTTTCTCGTGATGGGATACGATGTCCAATCTGAGTCACAGTAGCCAACTAGATGTAGATCATTATGTTGTGGAAGAATGATACCTTGGTCAGGAGAAGAATTTAGATATCGTAAGACTCGCATAGCAGCATCGCAATGGTCTTGGAGTGGTGTTTGCATGAACTGACTTAGAATGTGAACTGAGCAGGTTAATTGAGGCCTAGTGATAGTTAGGTAAGTTAGTCGACCAACTAATCTCCTATACCTTGACTGTTCTAAGAGTGGAGGTCCTTTGGCCAATGTAAGTTTGTGATTTTTTTCTCCATGAAAAACAAAGAAGGCTTACAACCAAGCATTCCACATTCTTGTAGAATGTCTAAGGTGTATTTTCTTTGACAAAAGAATATTCCTTCTGACCCTTGTGCTAGCTCCAGGCCTAGGAAGTATTTAAGTGAACCAAGATTCTTCATGTGGAAACACTGATTGAGATATTGCTTGAAGTGATCACAAGCCTCAACGTCATTACTAGCAATGATCAAGTCATCAACATAAATCAAAACAACAATAAAAAATTGATCCATGTGAATAAGCAAATAGACTATGATCAGACGGGTTGTCCTGGAAACCATATTTTGTCAATGATTGAGATAGTTTGCTATATTAATCTCTAGATGCTTGTTTCAAGTCATACAATGGCCTTTTCAATCTGCATATCAAATCTTTGTTTGGAACTTTATATCCTTGTAGAGGACTCATAATATACTTCTTTTGTCAATTCTCCATGTAAGAAGGCATTGCTAACATTCATTTGATGTAATTTCCATCCTTTCGCCATGGAATTGTTAACAAGCATCTGTCTGTGGTCATTTTGGCCACTGGTGCAAAATTTTAATTTAAGTCCTCACCTTATATTTGTGCATAACCTTTTGCAACTAATATGGCCTTGTACTTTTCAATCTCATATGTAGCTTTATCTTTGATTTTGTACACCCATCTGCATCCTATCAGTTTTCTTCCTTGTGGTAAATGAGTTAGTTCTCATGTCTCATCGTCTTCCAGAGCCTTGATTTCTTGAGCCATGACCTCCTTCCAAACTGTGTGTCTGACTGCATGGGTATATGATGAGGTTCTTCGTAATTAGTGATAGCTGCAAGGTAAGCTCTATGTTTTTGTGAAAACTTACCATATCTTAAAAAATTCGAGATGGGATATGTGATACCTGAAGAGGATTCTGGAATTGATTCCATATACTTGGGGTCTATGTTTAATTTTTCACAATCATAGTCTTTTAGATAACTTGGAGGCCGTCTTGTGCATGGCATGTTTTAAGGCTCCTCCTCACTTGAGATTTCTCCTTCACCTTCACTTGATGATTCTTTTTTAGAAGCATTGGTGACTTCCTCATTCACATCATTTATGGATACACTTTCTTTCTCTATGGGCCCACTCTTAGTTTAATTTACGTATTCAGGCTCCTTAATGCATAAGCTCTCCATAGGACTTGATGTTTGGTCATTATGGGGAATTTCCTCAAGACTTGGTGCTTCCAATTCTGCATTATTATAGAGTGAAAGCTCATCATTGAGGTTATCATTTTATGTTATTTTCAAAATTAGTAGGTCCATTATTGTCTTGCACACGGTAAGGAAAGATATGCTCATAAAACGCTACATATCTTGATATGCAACATTCACGAGTTTTTGGATCGTAAACTTTCCATCTTTTTGTCCTTGCGGATAGCCAATAAAAATGCATCTTTCAGCTTTGGGATCAAACTTACTAATTCCCTTTGAGTTATTTTTCTTGTAGCATAAGCAACTAAAAGTTCTCAAGTGCTCAAAGTTTGATACTTTCTTAAATAGTAACTTGTATGAAGTGATTCCCTCATTTTCTAATGTAGGAGTTCTATTGATTAGATACGCTGCTTTCAATTGCTACTACAAAAAGTCCTTCTAACGTCGGACGCGAAATGTGTTTTACCTCGGTTTCAGAAGCGAGGTAAATAAGGTCGTCATAAAAAGTATGGACTTAGAACTTCGATGTTTAAAACAACGAGGGGTATTTTAATTGCGCATAGGTTCAAACCCCACCAGCTGTATTTTTATTATTTACAATAATAATGCCTCACGTATCTCGGGTTATCAATAAAATCAAGAGGTAAATTATTAGTTATTTTTTAATTTAAACTGGTTACATTGTTTACATAGAAAATTAATCAAATAATTTGCTTACAAAATATAATGTTTACCCAGAATATTAAACTGGTTACATTGTTTACGCAGAATATCAAAATAAAAATTAAGTTGCCCATGAAGATCATATATTGGATCTTCAAATTCTTGATATCCTAGGAAGATAAAATGCTAGGAAACAATATATTTTCTATGGCTTTTCCTTGCATTTGTTTCAGATATCAACAAAAAAAAGGGTTAGATAAATAAATAATTTTCTGCTCAAATAAATAAGTACACAAACCTTAAACCCAAATAATTTTCTGCTCTTGCAATCCATCATAGAGAACTCTTCATGACAAAGACTCTTGCATATCTTAAAGTGGATGATAGTTTCAAGCGCTTCATGATATTTCATTATCAAATTTTGATATTCAGAATGCTTTATAATGGAAGTAAACCTATGTTTCACGCGTATCATTAATGGTAGTGTCTTGAGCATTGGTAGTCATGAAATGGACGACAAGGATTTGATTAAGGATGATGACAAATATCCTCAACTTTAACGCTAAAATATCCCCTCGGTTTTTAGGAACACCGAGGTGCAAGATATTTTTATTTTTTTTAAAGTTACATTGTTTACAAAGAATATTAAAACACAATATTACAATAAATTCCCACTTCTGATTTAGGCTTAGTGGAATTAACAAAAACACAACCTTTATTCAGCCCAGTTCTGCAAATTAATAGTAAACCACACATAATCAGCAATCATCATTATTTTTAAAGTATGAACACTAAATGTTCTAGAGAAGAAATTTGATAGCGTACCTGAAATCTATTGCCAAGTAGACAAATCAAAGGAGAAACTGTCTTCAACAACAAATCATTGGTGGAATCTGAAATTCTTGTATTCAAATCACAAATGTCCTAAGAGATATCGAGATACTATCACCTAACTTCAACACAATGAACCGATAAACACAACTAACAGTGCACTAAGTAAACAACACACATAATTGTTAACCCAATTCAGTGTACAACAACACCTACTCTGTGGGCTACCAAGCCAGGAAGGAAATCCACTAAATAGTATCAATTCAAAGCCAAACTTCCTCGTTTACAACTTCTCACTTAATTACTACCCGTGTTATATTTCTACCTAAGACTGTCCTAGGTATGAGACCCTTCTCACTTCCTTGACAGTCACAACCACAATTCAATTGAATTAGAAAATAAACTTCACAAACACACAATCACTTTATACTTATAAGCTTAAGAGTGATTGAGAGCCAAGAAGTAGAAACACTTCAAAAACCAGAATTCACT